TACGAACCCTTTGTACGAACAAAAGTAAGAGAAATTTAGGATAAGAATACGAACATGTTCTTGCATGAGGCCCATTATCACCAAATTTCCCCACTGTGGGATCAATAAAGTTCTATCTTATCTTAATTGTTGATGGGTCATTGCTTGACCAACACATCCTCATTAGCTACTTGTCTGGGTCTTATCTTGATGCACACAGCTGATGTACAGTATTTGTYTATTTTTAATCATTTTGTRCATTTTACTGCTTGGATTMTTGTGAAATTWTAATAATTTCCTCCTYTGGTTGGATTGAGTAGGTTTTTAGTTACTTTAGGCCCATTCGGTTTTTATATTTTGAAACCAAACAGTAGGGCTATTCTGCCATCCCTGCTCTGAAATCCCTCAATCATTTATTCCTTCTGGTGTAAGGAACATCAAAATTTCATCCAATTCTGCACAGAATTTGATGTTTAAAAACCAAAAGTGGAGTGCCGGGCAGCTTGCTCCCCAACTTTGAATGAGCAAAGTGCTCCTCACTCAGTGCCACATGCCCACTTGTGCTCTGAAATGTTTCAAACTTTAATCAGAAGGCCTCTAACAAGCATTTCCTGAAAGTATAATAAATATTTCTTTAAAGTTTCATTTAAATCAGTTTGGTAATTTTTGAGGTACAAGCCTGAGAAAACAGTTAGCTTTAGCCAAACATCCCCATTGTCCAAGAAACATTATACATCTGGGAACCACGGATGATCAAAGTGTGAGGGGAYGATATACCCTCTGCACCTAAATGTAGATTATTAGGCATAAAAATGGTAGATAAGCAGATAAGAATCTTCCAATATACTAGGAGGTACAGGGGGAACAGTCTGAAGCCATTCTTTGGGGATGAGAGTCACTACTTTAATGGGTTGATAACATTCTCAGCTGGTGGCTTGGCCTTAACTATAGGGTGAGGAGCTTCATCATCTCAGGAAGCTCATAGTAGACCTGCTCCTCTACACTGAAAGAAGACAGCGGAGGTGATTTGGGCTTTTGAATAAGATTCCTCCTTCTGAAGATCTTCTATGCATGTTCCAGTTGGAGGAGAGAGAGAGAGAGAGAGAGAGAATGGGTTTAATTTCAGGACCTGATGCCTTCACCAGACCACAGCATATAGGTTAACCTTTGCAAAACCTGGTATTTTTATAATAAAACTAGCTGGGGTACTTGGCGCAGCCTGGGTAGTCCCATGATTGCCCAATGTTTGTTRTTGTAATATTGATGTCTTCTAACCATAATAATGTGTTGGAATGGCTAAAGTCTGTCTTGTAAAACTATATGTGGAGTTCCAAAACCAAGTTAATCTGACAGTGGTCTAAGAGTACTTGGCTATGCCCAGGTTAAAAGAGAAACACATTTAACTTCTAACTTTGTAATGCAGATGTAATTTATTACAAAGTTTCAAACATAAAATGGGTTACAACAACTGTAATATGCACTTAACATGTATAATAACATAATGACCCATAGGCGAATAAAACCCTTTTTTCCGATGACATTGAAATGACCTTGGTGTGACATTACCAATGTGCATTTCAATGTATTTTCAATGGAAAAATTTGGGCCAGAGAAATAAAAACACATTTCTGTCGCAGGAATCAAACTCTGTAGTTTGCAAGCCAGAGCTCTCCTAACTGAGCTATCCAGGCCAATGCATGAAGGCATGTAGGCAGTGTATTGGTAAGGGCTTTGATTTTGCTGTACCCCAATGTAGGCATACTTCTATTTTGTTTAATATTGGTATTATTTTTGTTGAAAGCAATACCAGATTGTGGCCCACGTGATGGGGAATCAGAATATATATGGTTTTTTGGGGGTCTACCTGTTGTGGTTTTGGAGTTTACCCCGGACCAACAGAAAAAGCCTTCTTCTTTTGTGTACATAGATGATCTAAAAAACTAACAAAAGGTGAAGAAAAAACTTGCAAACGTTGACAAGCTTATAGGCAACGTCTCATGATAATTTTTCAGTTTTCAGAACACAAGTGCTTTCATTTGGAAGCACCACTCATGAYGTTCTTGTCTCAAACTCAGGTGGAAATCAGAAAGCAACAGAAACAGCAGCCAGTTACAGACGAAACCATGATTGACTTGAGTTTCCTGACAGAAGAAGAACAAGAGACCATCCTGACTGTGCTTAACAGAGACTCTGAGCTGAAAAAGGCTGAGGAGAAACGAGTTCAGTAAGTAACTGTGACTGAGCAAACAAATGATAAGACTGTCATTGTTAATGTGAGAATCTGGGCTTTTCTTATTTTATTATCTGTTTGTCTTTCTTTGTGCTTTTAGTGTCTCTTTAATCCTCGTGTCCATTTGTTCAGTTTTCATCAGTGTTCTTCTCCATCTCTTTCCACACCTGATCCGTTCTTCTCCATCTCTTCCCACACCTGATCCTCGTTTTCTCATCCCAGGTGTTGTGTTTACCCCTCGTTAGTTTCCCCTTTATATTCTGTGTTTATGTCCGTACTTCCTTGTTGATCCTTTGTGCTTCTCAAGCCAATCGTGTTTTGTCTTTGTGTGTTTTTATGTCTGCTTCCTTGTTTCTTCTTACACAAAGCTTGACAATTAAAAGAAATCTAGTCATTTCTGAAGTGATGCTCTTTGTAATAGATATCAGTTACATCATCAGCCATGATATCAGTCATTGAGCACTGAGTATGAAGATAAAGCAAAAAGTCTTCCTTAAGACTAGTAGGAGCCAGGAGAGACCATCATCTCCCAGATGTGTTACTGCACAGCTGGGTCAGCAAACAACTAACCTGCTAATGATGTGCAGATCAAAACTGAAGTATTGATGCTACCGATACCAGAACTTTATGCTTTAGAATCAATACTTAAATCAAAATATTGATACTTTGATTCTTACGTTATTTCACATAGTGTATATCATTAACAGGAAAATAACTAAACTATTCTAATCTTGTCTTAATCATATGTGGTTTGAGGGAACTACTTTTTCTTCCGCTWGGGTGATGCATAAGCACAGTGGCACGTGCTCAGCCAGACACTCAGTTTGTAGATGTATGGAAGGTAATTTTAACATAAATTCTGCTTCATCTGACTCTCTGTAATTAAATTCTAGATGAGGGGTTCCCAAACC